CAGAATGCGAACAAGCCAGGTGTTATTGGAGATAAGTCTGATAACAGTCTCTGAATATCTGTCGTTCTGCACATTGGTTAATCAACCCTTAAAAAAACTGTTTTCAGATGGACGTCTCTTCGAAATTCGAAGTGTTTTTGTGATCCCCACCATTTGATAGTCTATTTGGCGCTATAGTTAAGTTTGTCCCAAAGAATTATGAGGAAAAATTGGATTTCGATTGGATAGGAATTAAGTAGGAACCTAGCATGCTAAGTCTATGGCTGTGGGTTACTTCCTCATTTTTCAAAGCAGTTGCTATGTTTTCATCTGAAATGGACAAAACGACGTGCACTTTGAAAATTCCGTGCATTTTACGGTTCCGAGTTAATCGATGAACGAAAAAAAACACTCGCTGTTCGGTGTGTTCTTTAGTAGCGCATTATATATTGCCTTTTTACCTTGAACTTGGCTGTGATGAGAGAGGGAGCTTCAAGGGGCCAATCAAAATTGGTATATTTTTAATGTGGTCTTTTCAGGGGCACACAGCTGCGGGGCACAGCTGAATATGGCAAGTCTTCTTTGTACAGTGCGGAGTTGTACGCATGGGTTATACAGTATGTCGTTTTGTTTTTAAGTTATACTTAATGTGAACTAACCAACCACTCAACGCAGGTGGTGTGAGCAGGGGCCGGAAGAGTGCATTAATGACTTGAAAGAGACCGGGATTTAGATAACCTTGAGTCAGAATACAAGTATTTGGCAGGATTTGGACCCACGGCTTTTCGCTTGCTGGACAAGTTTCCCACCAACTGGCTGCCATATACACGCTCAGTTACATCGCACGTGTGCAGTCGAGCTCCACACTCATTTGCCACACATCTGCTCACCAGATCAGTAGCTGCTCCTTCAGTGTGTGCGACTAATCGGCACGCAGCTGGCATCGTGCATTTCTGCGGAGTGAGAGGTTCTGGGTTTTAATCCTGCTCCCGACGCCTGTCTTTTCGTACATGTGATGTACGCTCCTACTCAAGAAATGCACACGATTGGCTGAATCTTTTATCAGGTGCTAGATTCTGGTAAGACTGAGTGTTATAACTCATATGAACCTATTGTTGAAGTCGATCATGTTTAAATATCTGATACGGTTACCACTCATTTGTAACTTATCGTCAGAATAGACCCGATCTTCCCGTAGCGCTATCAACAACTACATAGGAGTTTCTAATCGCAATCAGAGTGAGTAAGTAGTCCCCGTGTGGCGATAGTAGCATATCGTAGCTTCGGGTTTTGCTGACAAAATAGCGTGGCAGGTTGGCGTTTTACTTCGTCTGATCGAGTTTATTTCAGTTGGTGCTGTTCTATACGCGACGCCTCTTAGTATGTTAATTCCACGCGGAATAAAGCATTTCAAAATGAACAATCGATGACACACTTAAGCCGAATTGCAGGAAGTGTCAACACTTTCCTAACCTACTTACGAACTACTTGGCAAAATCCAGGTGCTTTTACACAACGTATTGGTCTGATTTGCTCTGAACGCAGCGATAATTCAATTATATTTGTGATCGATTTCCCTGTTGCAATGGCACAAGCAGATCACGAGAAAAACAGCGCGAATGCGTTGTCCGTCAATCTGGTTCAAGGGAACAACCCGGCACGCACCGGACTCGAAACAGTCCATCTTTGTCTGGAACATACCCGCTCTTGAACCCGAGTCAGATTCGTTCGTTCCGTGACAGCACTGTTCCTGTCACCGTATGCGTGTGAATCCCAGCAGCTGTTATTGTTCACAGCTGATGTTTCCGGTCGATAGACCGACGGTAGACAAATTGAAATGTAGAAAAGGAGTTACATGATTTTGTGGTGTGTCAGTTAGTTTAGGAGATATGTTCATGCAACATAATGCAAAAGGCAAGTCATGCGCTTGTTCCTTTCAGGCACTCTTAACTGAACGCTTGTGTTGACTCATGGGTAAGGCGAATCTTTTTTTATCGGTTTTGTTCATTAAAGGAGACGGCCTTGTCGGTAATGTGAGGGGTGGTACAAGAATTTTCATTGCTTAAAAAAGGACTAAAGGGCGGAACTCTGACGTTTCTCGCTTTCTCCTGTTCCGTTAGGTAGTGTCTTTGGTAGAATTAGCCAACCCGCTTACTCAACGCGGTTTCACTGAGCCCTTCAGCCAATTACCTGAAAATTGTACGTTGTCACAGAATATTGACGCCACCCAAATGTGAGCCTAGGTCACATTTGATCATAAACTTATCTCGTATTCCGGATAAACACAACAGATTTTGAACAACCTTGGGTTGAGAACCGCGGGATATGGAATGAACAAGGTGGAATTGCAATCAATCTTTCGATGAAATAAAACAGTCCATCGGACGCTCTGCCTAGTTGCCTTTCTTCGACTAGTTTTAGATAATCTCCGTCCGAAGACGATTTTGGGAGCAGAAAATTAATGCGAATTTGCCATTTCTAGTATTCGTCCACAAGGGCCTTAGGTCGGTTAGCCAGAGGCATGGTGAAATCAGTTCACACGGAAGAAAGGCTACAAGGTTATCGGACGGCTGGCTGTGCGTTTCCTTCATATGTTGTCGACGCCTTAAGCGTTCCGCCGAACAGCCAATGATTTCATCTATCAGCCTAATTCAGTTGTTTTGATGCGTGGTATTAGTTAAGCAAGGCACCTTACCTTTTGTTGAGTGAAGCGATAATTGACCATCTTTCCATTCATTTTCGTAAGCCATATACGTATACCACTGGTGGAGCATGCGATTAGTAACCGATCAAGTAGTTTAAAGTGCCATCCCTAAGAAACTGATGGAAGGGTGGACTGAGAATTATTGAACGGTTTTAGGGTGCTTGTTTGTGATCATTTACTAATCAAGAAACGTGTGGGAAAGCTTGAGGATGTTATCTGCACAGATGATGTTTTTTCTTTCGTGGCTGATAGCTCGCGACCGCTTAGTTCGTGTTTACCAGTAAACAACTCCGCATTTGAGAGAACAGGTAGCAAAAACGCTTTTCACTCTACCAACTACAGTATTCGTTATTCCCAGGGGTATTCCCAGAACTCTGGGGAGTTTAGTCCCCATCAGGAGCTCATCCCTAACAAGAAGCTGTCCATCCGGATGGGATAATGAAACAACTCATCTCATTGATGGATGTCTTGTTCGCACAAACTTTGATATTAATGATGTGGAAGACCAGGCTACCTGGGACTTGACTATCCTTACAATCTCGAGGGCTGAACCCAGAAGCCACGACGCTAGCCCAGAAATCCGAGCACACTTCGGCCAACACTGTTCGTGTGTGACTTTTCGCGGGAGGCGGGTGGGAGAAGATACTAACCTGCTCATGCGCCAGTCAGTCACCAGGTAGAAAGCTTCAGAACTCTCTGTCACATCTGGACCATCAAGATACGTACACACGAGATTACTTTAGTAACTTCTGAGCAGAAGTCGTTAAATGCCCACTGGAACCATACACACCGCTTCAAAAAAGGCCGACTGAGGTCACAACGAAAGCAATACTAGCCACCCGCTCAAGACAAACTGCGAACTGTGTTTATGCGCCTGGTCACTAGCATATTTTTGACGTTTAACACCCAAACAGCTACGGAATTCACACGCTGTTTGTTTAAAATGCGGAAGACGAAAGAGCAGTTTTTTTAAACATTGTCATTAGCATGCTAATAGGTGTTGTTTGTGACGACTAGTTGTAATTAGAATTTAGATTATGCGGAAATGCTGTTGTCGGGTAGATACTCATGGGAATTGTTGGGGCCTTTGGTGAACGAAGAAGAACTGTCAGCTCGAAACGGACTGACAAAAAAATTCGAAAACTCCGAATGAGAAAGCGAGGATGGGGTGTCGCGGCTACTTTCTTGGCAAACACAGCAAAAACGGGGCTTTGAATTTCTGTTCACACTGGTGGACACTGGAAATGAAAGCGACCGACTGTTTTGTGTAGATTTGTGTTCTAACGATGTGTTGTAGTTATTCGCGCATCCAAAGAGTTTGGTGTGTCGCTACTCAACCTTGATCACTCTTACGAGTGAGTGACCGTGCCTGGATCGAGTTTTCAAGATGCTCACAAAATTGTAAGCGATTCATTCGTTGTAGTGGAGATTAGATGCTAGCAGCTGAGTGAAGGATCGCAATTTCTGAGGTGGGTTTCTGAATACCCCTTAGTTCCAAATTTACCCAGGTATTAATAACAGAATCTTGGCAGTGAGAACTATTTGTCTGTGAACAACTACGTACTAGCCCAAAAAGTGAATCCGAAAGAGTAAATGCGAACGCGATCACCAAAAAAGCTCGTTACCAAACCCCGGAAAAAGACGAACCGACTAAGATGCGGACGAAGCACGATTTTGAGATAAGTAAAGCAAATGCTTCACTCAAAACAATGACAAACACAATGGGCAACTTCCATCACTAGTTGGAATATCTGTCCAGTGAAAAAGATAAAATTTATGCTTGAGAAACTTTTGGCGTGGGACCAATCAACACAGGACGACCAGTCAGCTTCAGGGCTCCTGTCGGAAACTGAACCTATGTCGTCTGAATTCCGTTGCGTAAATCTAACAGAAATAAAAGAGGTGATGTGGGAGACCTGGTGAAACGATAGACCTTACAAGGAGAAAATTTATTTCACACTATGGCGTCTAGCTCCGGCACAGTGATACTACCCGACACTCAGTCATAAGGAAGTCTATCGAAAAGAGCAAATAGACAGAATACGACGAATAAATTAGGTCTATCTAGAGGGGGGAGTGCTAGAGTGGCCTTCTATCTCCACTGACTTCTTTCAGAACGGGATACCTGTAACTGTAGACCATAATGTGTGAGGAGCTGCAATTTGCCACCAGAACAAGTTGAGCGTCCCAGCCTGATTACTAACGTACACGCAAATAAGATCCCTTTTTAATGGGGAGGTAGGTTAGACAAAAATATAACCTATTCATCTGATTCTTTCAAGCATTCTTCTCCAGTAGCGGCACATGGCGTTGCACTATGGTCCAGGTAGTTTACGCTGAATTCCTTCTTTCACTTACTGAGGTGCAAGATATTGGGCGAGGTAGGAACTACCAGCTGAGATTAACGAAAATAAATCAGGTTCATTCTTTTCATAAAAAAACTACTCACAAGGTTGCTGAAAACTTTTGGACAGCCCATGACCGGTTTTACCCTTCTTGGGGCTCATCAACTGCATCTCTCTTTTACGATAGTCTACAACTGAAAGTGCTGCACACAGGCCGCCTCATGATTCAGTCGGCACGATATTCGAGATATCGCAGTATATTTTCATGAGGGAAACTACTCACAAGGTTGCTGAAACTCTTTGACAGCCCACGACCGGTTTCGCCTTTCTTGGGGCTCATCAGGTAGGCGTAGTCCCCGAGTTTCCGTCAACCTTATGTTCTTCTCAAGCTGCAAGCTACAAAATTCACTCGCATGGGCCTACTTTTGCTTTAAATGGGTGTTACTGGGCATGCTGAGTTTTTGCCAGTGCACCAGATGAACTTTACTTAGTCACCAAATTGGCTTTAAGGTAGACCATAGAAGGATAGGGGACTTGTAGGCAAAATTGTACATAGTGTGTGGTAAAAATTAATGGACAGCTTAATTTACGGCATTTAGGAAGAGTTCTTCAGGCGATTCAATGGGTTTGGAATTAATCTGAACGCAGAAGTTTCAAGGCCACGCCACTCAAATCTTTTCAGAGTCACGTTACTTTGTGAAAACTATTTACGCACAAGCATTTCGCAGTGAAAGCTGTTACATATTTTTACTCAAAGGACTGAATATATCCAGTCTGCGGTTTGATTACTGCATTTTTCTCGCAAGAACAAACTGCCATTGTTGAACTCTTCCGGAAATGAATCCAAATGCATGACGAGATACAGTATTTTTTCAGAATGCACAACATTCAACAGTTCACAGGTGCATTCGGTCTGAGGAGTCGTCAGTCGCGGAACCAGCTACCACCAGACCATGTGGGATTGACCATGGGATGGCAAAGTGTGGCTATATCCTCTAAGTTACATTGCCAACCATTCAATGTTGGTTGAATGGTGTAGTGTTTAACATTTTACCAAAAAGCCTCGAGATTGAATCTGATTAAGCGTCCAAGAGATGCGAACTGATGATGATCCCCAGTAAGGATGAAACTACACCTAGATTTTCCCGCGCAGACTAACTTCGCTTGCATTTGGGAAGCGGTGTCTGGCACTTTGTAGCTGTTATTAATTCTCCCCAAAACCATACGAATTAACGTACCGAAATGTACTATTAAGCTAGGCGTAGACAAAGAAAGTTACTAAGCGTTCACGTGCATTTCGAAGCCTGGTTTAAAGTGCCAAGTCCGTAGATAGATGTCTTAGAAGCATCTGGATATGTCAGAGATCGTGGGCTTTGTGGGCTCTGGTCGGGATTACGTTTGCACAAAAATCCGACAACCGGAATGTTCTACATTTACTCTCAAAGAAGCATTTTCTCCGGATACATTATCAGAAATCGAACCATGCCTCATGACCGCAACGAGTACTCCTCGTTGACAAGCCCCAAACTGTGCTACATTTTTCGCGATACGTTCGTCTTATAATAGGAATGTCGAGGATCTTGGTATCTTTTACATGGAATGTTGCAAGTCCCGGTGTAAATCAAGCGTGGGGATATCAAAACAGCGACCGAATTCCGGTGTACTAACGAAATCGATTAGCCTCTCAGCTAAGAGGAAGAATGACAGGACAGATGTCAGTGACAGCAATGATCGCAAGCTTATTATTTGACCTTGGGAAGTTCGTGTTGATGTCCTGGATTCCCGCTGTTTAATCAACTGAACCAGGTACCAAGTTCGTCAAAATTCCAAAAACGAACTGCGCTCAGGAAACATGTGCCGATCAGTTAGTAGATTGGTATAGTTGTCATCTGCAGGAGAGGGGATATTTCTGGTCTCATATGAATGGATGAGTAGAAAAATGACGTTGTTGAAAGGATATTGGTTGGGATTAAACAATCTGAAGTTCTTTTATAAAGTACGGCGTAAAACGTCCAGTTACGTGTCTGCATGCCTTAGCACAGAAAAACGACGTTAAAACTTGTCAGACAGTGATTCTTAATGCATGATGGTAAAGAAAGCACAGAGCATACGGGTCCTTTTGTGAGGTTTTTACAGCCTAAAAGTAACTCCGGTTTGAGGTAAGGTGAAACAAACGTTCACGTGCGCTCATTTGCATGTTATCTGGATCGGATTGCTCTGGCCAATGCACAACGGCCCTTGTAAAATTAGCCTATCAAGTTCCACACTAGCATAGGCACTTAATTGCCATATTAGTAACAGTTGAAGAACACAAATTCCTAAATGTTTAGCAAATAACCGGTTTACAAACGACAATAGAAGGTGTTCTGTGTTATTCTTCTGTCTAGATAGTGTCTTAACCAACCGACCGTCGGATCTCACACTCCCTTTTCGTCTTATCATTTCGTGTAGGACCCAAGATTTTTGTTGTAGAAAGCTTTGGTTGTAAAACGGAATACTTTCATGCACAACTGACTCTGAGACAGTTTGAATCTAATTGATGAGTATCCTATAAAGTTTAGAAAGTTTGATACGTTAGAAATGTTTCAACTGCCAGTTCCCTCACTAAAAATCTTGGCGAACATTCACAAAGCAATCTTTTTAGTGAGCTATCGAAGAACTAATTGTGAACAACCTACGATAACTGAGCTAATTTTATGAGTATCAGTCACGGAGGCTTAGATAGTATCGAAACCCTGATCTACCTCAATACCAGCAGACAGAAATGCGCGATTATCCTTTCCAAAGCAGTTTTCCCAAAAAGTGAGCATTTACATTTTTTACAACTCCATTCCGTATCACTAACAGACGTGGAATCACAGACCTAATGCCATCTGTTTTACAAGCGGATAACTGACATTGCTGGTTGGCAGTAAGTTATGGGGTTGTGCACATCTCCGCGTAGCCACGTAACGCAGACCGAACTAATAAATCAGAAAAAAACATGGGATCAGCTGCCCAACCGCAGTGAAGCCACATTCACAATAAGCGAACTACCCCGAATTCGTCAGGCGTGGTGAAACGCAGAGAGTGATAAGTTTACCGGGATTTCATTCGGAGTTGAAACGTAGTGCTCAGTAAATCAGCGCTCCTATATCTCGGCTTTATGACGTTTGAAATAAGCAAGAAGTTTTGTTTTAGAAGTGACGAACAACAGTTGCCTGCGTAGTGTTGTAAGCTATCGGTTGGTGAAGTTCGGACGCGCGCAACTCGAATTCACAGTTACATGGAGCTACAAACTACCACAAAAACAATAATTTGCTTTCCATGTAAGAACAAATGCGGACAGCGACCACCGAGTTGGCTTATCCGTTCGTCAGTCTGTCGGTGCCATACCTTCTGTTGAATGAGCTGGACTTTGTTAAAGAATCGTTGCATTGATTGGTCATTCGCCAGTTGCGACAAGTCCGTTAAGCTTGTAAGGCATGGAAAGCTGGATGAATAATCCACGCTGTATTGAAGCTCAATTCACCCGAAAAAGGATCTCTTGTGGGAGAGGTTTGTTTGATATCTCACTGCGTCCACCCCAAGAGATTACACGAAGAACCACACAGGAAAAAAAAACTTAAAAACTAGCACTGAACCCCTCCCCCGAGAAGATACGGTATGAGGCCGTTTTTGGTTCCCATTAGTAAAGAGTTCTTAACGAACTTGCTTGTTAAACATTGAGCGCAATGAATTCAGGAAGTGGAACGAATAAATGTGTGCAATCCTAGTTTTGATGGGGCTTTCAATGGACACAATTGTTTTGTTGCTGCTCTCTTAGAATCCAGTTGCTTGTACATTCATGCCATTTAATAGGATTTACTGATGAGCAAAAAAAAGACTGAAACTTCGGGTGGGACCGCCTCTTCACTGGAAAGTCGTGTACAAATCAATGATCTAGTATTTATTGGGTCCTGTGCGAGGATCGACGGCTTCTTAGACACTATCTATCAGTGGGCGATCGTTTGAATAAATCAGCAGCCGATTGAAACTGATGGTTTCGAAACTAATTGAGTCATATTGTCACAGAAGACAAGTTGAGGAGGATCAACTCTAAGATGGTCTAACACGCCGCGCTACCGAAATTCATGTGAATCGCTTTGATCAGCATTCGATCAACAGTGCTTCTTAAACGGAATAGGTCTTCAAATGGATCTTGTGACATCCCGCGGCACCAATTTGTGCGGTAAGTAACTTCACCTTCGAGAGAGATCAGAGTGTTGCTTTGCTGTAAGTCACTGTTTTGGTATATGTTCAGGGATTTGATAAAGTCATTAATGCTGCTATTGACGTAAGATGAACCGGTCAGGAGAACAATCCGACATTAGCTGGGGAATAATAGTCCGGTTCAAAAGTTTGAAGACCTAGCTGGGTACTAGGTTACATAGGGTTTGTAGAGAATGCTAGCTTCTGTTTGACAACGTTGAACATGCCGTATCCGAAGTAGAAGGCATATAATTAATTACAGTTTGGACCACAAAAACTCAGTCAGATGTACAGATGGATGCATTATGTAAAGCGGTAGATTTCTCACGGTAGTAACTAGCTTTAGACAATGCCTTGCCGGTCAGTCTGATGTAGGTTAACTTCCAATCTGGTAAACTACTGCCTCCATCAAGCCTCAGTTATAGGTCACTCAGGAAAGATGAATGATATGTCACCTCAAGAGTATGGAAAAACGCTCACTGTATTTAACGTCTTTTTATAATTACCCGTATGGGAAGTATGTTGGACGTGCTAAGTCATGGTTTCGGGCTCACCTGTTTGAGGGATTTTATCGTCTGTGGATTCGAAGACCTATTTTCTCCCTTATTTGTCCGACCAAGAGTAAACAGACACTACTGCAGGCTGTTTTAACATAAGATTTATGCAGCTGAGTCTGCAATGAGAAAAATCCCGTCATTGGAGTTACTGAACGTTCACCACTCGTCTTACTCAAACATTTCTTATTTGAAAGACGAGTGTTCCTACCAGAGTAGATATTATGGACCCGCCCTCATCGTAAGAAACAATATTCTATACTGATGTTTAAGCAAATTACTATCCTCAACAGGAAAAGAAATTCCGTCAGCCACCGGCCCACTTTCTAAAAATGGGCAAATTATCTGGAATTGAAGCAGCGGTGAATCGCTGTAGAAGTTGACAGTGTCTTCAAACTAAGACAAGCACCTCATTATGTTCGTTGGTAAATTAACTGGATGAGAAATGGAGATACCAGCCATTAAAAACACCGGTTTTCCTTCTCAACGAAACCAATCACTTTGTATTCATAAGTGTAACTCAGTGATAAACTGGAACACCTGACGGCACTGTCCTGGCTTTCATTTAAACGCTTTCCCCCTAACCCACCGCTACGCACAACTACGCACTGATGATGTCACCTCGATTGGTGATGAAACGTTTGCAACCAAATTGCCCAGCTCAGCGAACATGCCAACGACCATCTACGCTACCTGAGCTACCGACATTCTCCTCTATAGAAGCTCTATATCTACCTCTGCGAAAACTAGAGTGACGTGAGCGGTTGAGGGACTACTTCCAGTGAACATGCCACGACCATCTACGCTACCTGAGCTACCGACATTCTCCTCTATAGAAGCTCTATATCTACCTCTGCGAAAACTAGAGTGACGTGAGCGGTTGAGGGACTACTTCCAGTAAACGTCTCAACTAAGTGTCCCGCTCAAGGTGAAACATGACCAAGCCTATGTATTTTTGTGACTTGTTCTCCATTGCGAATCGGCTTAAAGCCTGATAATACCGGTCCTTTTAGGGCGAGTCATTTTAGGGAAGATGTACTTCTCAATTCAGACCAAGTTTTTCAGGCTGCTTACGACCTGTGGGCAGAACAATTGACCCATACAAGTGAAACAGTACGGACAATAATTGAGTTTGATTTTTATGAAGTTTTACCAATTCAAAAGACAAATTCGTAAGATCATCTATTTATGGTTGCCAACAACACTACCGAAGTGAAACGGACGGAAAGATGGTTCCACATGACATGAGCAGTCATCGTAAAACCATGAAAGGTTATGAATTTCTACTTGCTCAAGAATCGAGTGAGCTTCCAGCTCCGCAGACAGACGATGATGGGGAATTTGATCCTCTTGTTGTAATGGCCCTAGTGAATGCCTACTCAACAGTTGTATACCATCATTCCCCGTAAAATTCCACACCAATGCATATGATGTATAAGCTGAAGTTTAGCGCAGCTTTCATTCTCAAGGCTCGCCACATCAAAGTGATTTGCACGTTCCTTGTAGTTAACTTGTCCAGTTTTCGCAGAATAACGTGGGACTGGGTATTTTTATGAACCACTGACAATCTGAAAACGAAACGGCAAAGAAAACTTGCATTAAAAACGCATCAGAAGATTCTTTGGAAGTGTTGCTGTCACTTGATATTCTGTCTTAGAAAAACTGTTTTCCTCAAGTCAATAAATACTGGATACGCTATCATCAATCCATAACAGAAAAAACTGATTCGGCTGTAAGTAGCGATTCTCTAACCATTTGATTAAAAGCATTACTTGGGGGGCCTTATTCGCACTACGCCATGATTTCGCTGCGCACATTGTGTGTCAGAGAGTTTGTTTGTGTTTTTGACCCTCTAATAAAGTTTGTGGATGAAAAATGATAAAAAACAAATGCATGTTAAATGAGAAGTTTACTAAAAATGACAACGTTATGCAGTTTACAATCGTGTATTTGCATTGAACACACTCAAGTTTCATTAGAATGCGTCGATCCACATTAATACCGGAAACTATTTTCTAATAAAAGGGTGAAACGGTTTTTGGGAGCTGAACGGCACGATCGATTGCGCCGCATTTGGGTACGTTTGTTCCCTGTGAATCCGAATTGAATACATTACATTTTGTACAGTGTGCACACACCAATAAGACAACCCGTTTTCAGATTTTGCTGGCCCTGTTCGACGTAGAACTATCAAGTTTTTGCGCCAAATATACGACCACTTCCGGTATTCTGCTTCCGTACTGAGAGGGTGGGAATGATACTTAGTGATATTTCCCTGTCACCTTGGTCCCCAAAAGGCGGAGTGACAGTATGGATTCTACCACGGTATTGGCTATTGATGAAGTGGCCCTCAAACGTTCCGTCGTTAATCGGGAAGGCAGGATCGGATTTTGATTTTGGGCTCCTCTATTCATCCAGACCTACTGCTCTTAAGTAACAGATGATGTTGAGTATATTTTAGCCTCACAAGTGCAACAGCGATATTTTTTATACTCGAGAGAGAAGTTCGATGATTTTTATGTCATGTGTTACGTCATGTGATCGATTTTCAGATGGAGGTTAACTCATGGAGGGCGATCAGAATAGCCCCAGCCAATAAGTCGGTCTCTCTCCACGGTGTGAAGCACTCTTTAACAACAGTTAAGGCAAGTATTGGAGCAAGGTTGTTTCCTTGAAACTGGAGCAAAAATGTTGTGATCACCTTTCACAAATGCCACGAACATCCTCGTAAAAATCCAATCCAATCTTCCATCGACTTCGTTACCATGATAAGAGTTGATACAACTTGTCCTTATGTGTATTGAAGGTGAACAGTTGTAGAGAGTTGTTCAGTTAATGCTATTGGCATTGGACTTCGAGGAAAACGGTAATTTTTGTCTGCTTACCATAGCTCTCTCCTAACTTCTGACAAGTGATACCGAAGATCTAAGAGCAGAGTAATATGGGCTGTGTCAACGTGAGCGCCTCTACGCCAAGTCTCACGCCTTTCAAATCCTGATCGTCGCTTTCAAGAACTTTACTGCAACAAGCAGCACCATTCGGGAAGTAGGAATCAGTTACCGAAGCCGGCGCTTTGTTCTGCAGAATTATTTTCAAATAGCCTGGAGATCGATTGCTTGTCGAATGCGTCAGCACTTAGTAAATCCACGTCATTGTGGTTGGTTTCGGATGCAGCGAAACACGCTTGGTTGTTTTGAATATAGATGTTATGCCAAATGACCTCAATCCTTGTAATTGCAAACACCAAGTTTATCAAAGTATTCACTCAAATCACTTGTTTGTAAGTCGCTCATAATGATGTAACACCCGTGATTGGCGTTGTAACGTGGCACAGAAGCTAGCAGGCTATTTTCACCGACTCAATTATACCAGCGTCCAAAAGTTGCTTGTGCGACGCCGAATTTCGAGGCAGGAATCAGTTCCACATTGTTCATCGATAATTGTTGATGGGCTGGATACTTGGCTGGGAGCAACACAGTCTTCTAGCAACATTTAATCGTTTTATTTTTGGAGTCGTTGTTAAAAAATAAGGCCTGTTATCCAAGCTCACTTGTAGCTTTTGTACGTCACTACCATGTGCAGACCTTCAAACCCATTTGGGTTGCTGGTTTTTTCAAGCACCGCCCACTTTTTATTGCAGCATGGAAAGGCCGTTCAGGGTTCTCCAAAAAACTTTCGACGGTTACATGATTGGTCAAATGTCTTGCCTTGCAGAACAAGACTGCTTCATTTGATTTAAAGATATCGCCAGATGAATAGGAATCCGGAAGTTGTGGCAGTTGGGCTTTCTAATCAGTGACGGCTGAAGCCAAAGCTTTATTGGCCTCTCAGCTTAGAGAACAAGAGCTGTGATGGAGAAATACACTCATTTGCTAATCAATTTGGTTTCCATAGGAGACTCAACTGAATCTCTCTTTTATGATATTCTACAACTGATACACAGGGAGCCTCATGTTTCAGTTGGCACGATATTCGAAATATCGCAGTATATTTTCACGAAGGAAACTACTAACAAGGTTTCTGAAAACTCTTTGACAGCCCACGACCGGTTTCGCTCTTCTTAGGACTCATCAGGTAGGCGCAGTCCCCGAGTTTCCATCGTGGGCTATCGACCTTGTGGGGGTTTCCTTCATGAAAGAGCTATGATCGTTTTAAAATTTTAATAGCGGGGCAAATGCAGCTAAATTGCTCACACCCCTCGCTCACAGTTCTTGAGTAGGTAAACAAACCGAGATGGTCCATATCTCTTTATCGTTACCAGACTCGTGCTGTTATCCAAATACACTTCGCTGTCAGTAAGCTTTGGCAGGTATACAATCAACTACCTTTGGTTAATGTTGGTTTGTTCGCCCCGAATAGACATTGATAAGAGCTCTGTGATTTCACAGTGCTCCGTTACGGTGGAAATATTAGCTGAAGGAAATCGTGGTGCAACAATGACATATTATTCACTCTTTCTGAAATGTGCCTTGGCATTCAAAAATTCCAAATCCTTTTAATTTGAAAATCAATAAACTAGATATCACCACCACAACCTCCATCCCGAGTGTAGAAATACGCACTGTGTATGTGAAGTATGGATTTGTGCACTTTTTGGACAACCGGTATCTGCGTGTAGTATGTGGGATAATATATTTGAACGAAGTAGCGGAATTCTCGAAAGGGTGGTCTTTTTCGCGAGGATCATGCAGTAAATCGTGCTTTTCCAGGAGGGAAGCAATCTCTCTTCTGACGGAACTTCTCTGAGGGTAGTACTTTTTAACAATTCACAGCGTTATGAGTTTAAAATGTTTTTTAATGATTCCATTGTTTACTTATTAAAAAATGAAATCAGGGTAATGGTATTTGCACTCTAGAAGCCGCCAAAATGACGTCCTTCTGTTTAGTCCATCGCGGATGACGGGGAAGGCAAGTGTATCCCCTTTCAAACCAGTAGTGTAATCGAAGGAGATTCGAGAGATTGCCGTAGTATTTAAAATTTGTGTTGCTATGAAACATTGGTGGTTAATCTCACGACTTTGGAAAGAAACTTGTGTAGTAGTCACGTGCTTACTTGGTGCCTTAGTTTAGGAAAACCCGGGGTGTGTGATAGCTCAGTGGTTAGAGCGCGAATTTACTGACCGGAAGATCCGTGGTTCGAACTCGGGTTAGAGCGGAATTTACTGACCGGAAGAACCCGGGATCGAACTCGATTTCTGCATCTCGACCTCACTTGTCTAGGCTTGGATAACTCGGCAGCATCCTGGCTCTCATACTTTCTTCGGGTGGCATGCCAGCTAGTTACAAAAAGAGTATTACAGCTGAACGATTCGCTTCTATTTTCATTTTCGAGGGAACCTGGAACATCACTTTTGCATCTTGTTATTTGTTGGAAAGGGCGCTT